CAAGACATCTGGCATAACCAATTCATTACCCACTTGGAGACCATTTTGAAAATGGTAAAAACTTATTGAATCCAAAGACTGTTTGAGGAAGAAGGCAGCAAATTAACATTTAAATGTTACGTTTGGCCCAATGCAGCTTTTATTCCTCACCCATGCTCTGTCAGGTTAGTTTGCCCCCATCCAAGTGACAAGATTATAGCCAGGGTTTAGATTGACGTGATTAAGACTAGGGTCACCATTAATCAACCCTCTCATTCAGAACATAACTTACATATTTCTGATCTCAATATTCCAATTTGCTTGTTTACAGAATATTTTTAATTGCAAACAGCCTTTTATTCAGAATACTTCATGTCCATGTAAACATAAAAGGAGCCCATATACTTCCTTTGTCCTGTGTAGCACACAGGAAGGTGCATAGATAGAATCATAGCTTTGTGTGCATTGAATCTATTTATTAAATAGGTTTCTAGTTGTACATCAAAAAGAAGTATCCAAGAGAGGTAAGACAGTGGTAGCATTTTTGTCAAGCCAACAATGTATTGCTTGTTTAAAAATAGGGGTTCGTTTATTTTCTCCACTATTTATGAAATATAAGAATGATAAAATCATTGACAAAAATTGGATGAGACAAACTTGAAATAGTAAAGTCTGTATTTTCAGTAGCGTGGCTTTGTGTGTTGAAGTTTGTTTTACTTTTCCCCCCCCCCTGATGTTATTGATTGATGCAGCAGTAAAGAGATCCTTTGGTAATTAGAATTTAGTGCCTTGGAGGTGGTCTTAGCTGACTTTGAAGCATTTTTATTCAGCGTTTGATGCAAACCTTTGCCAGCGCACTGCCTTTGTGATTAATCGAAAAGTGGATAACAAATATTTAAAAAAAACTGATGTGAGGAAGCGAACCTGGGATTAATTAGTTCATGGAAAATTTCCTCCTGTGTCATTCGTGATGCTATAAATCATCCCATTAACTCCTGGCTTCTGTGCACAGATAATGGCTATGGTTGCCACTTACAGTAAGCAGATGCTATATAATGATACTGATGAGTATTACTTTTGATTTAAATCTATGAATTGGGTTTAAACGATCCCATGAAATTATACCTTTGTAAAAAGAAAAAAGAGTCTATGAGTTTATACTTTAAAATGCTCACATACCTAAGTATTTTAAGGTAATAATTATTGAAGAGCCAGGGGACACAGACTATACATTTGTGTTGTCCCTTTATAATTATTAAAATACTGAGTTTAACACCCCTCCTTTTTGAAACATATTTAATGAAGAAAATGCAGATCTTTCCAAAATAACACTCATATTTTATATACATGATATGAATTGTGATTCTCTGAAAACATGTTGTATTTCTTCACATTGCACACATTTGAAATGTAATTTTAGATGTGACATGTAAAGACAAGAAACTGTTTTGGTGAGGGATTTTTATCTGTATAATATTTGATGGACATCAATAAATGGAAAAACAGCAAATATATTTATGCAAACGTTATGTGCAAATAGAACTATATAAAACATAAATACTTTGAGTTGAAATTGTTGTAAGAAATCTACAGAACAATTTGATGTCCAAGAGACCAAGTCTTTCCTATAACAATAATGCTGTATACTTTATTACTTATTTGAAGAAACTTGAGAGACAAAGATATGACCATTTAGTTATGTTGTGGTGCACAAACCTTTCTAAATAAGCCAGATTCCCCTGAATACTTTGGAAGCCTTTACAGTACAGTAGCTGCACAGTGCTTGATGTAAAGAACGCAATTATGTTAACAGTATGCAAATGTTTTAATCTTTTTTGAAGGAGAGACAGGACTACAATAAAAAGGCATTTAAAGTTCAGTTAAAAGGATTTTTGCTTACGGTAATTTCTTCACACACTGATACACCATTGGAAAGAAATAAAAAACAAAAGTGTAGATTGTCTCGAAACTCTTTGTTCCAAATATTATAGACCATTGAGTAAGCTGTGAATTAGTAGTGGTGTGGATCCATTTATTGTTAAATGTATTTTGTCCATCAGAGCCTAATGCAACGTTCATACTGCACATGATTGAAGCAGCTGAAGCAGCAGGTTTTCATGCAAAGTCAATGGTTGACAGCATCAAGGCGAATCAAAAGGTCCTGCAGCGCATCTCAAGCAGCAGGAGCAGTGCATCTTGACGTATCTGAGCAGCTGAAGCTGCAACTCATGAGCATCTGAGGCATGTGACACGCTTAACAAGCAGCAGCTGCTGGAGTTGGAAAAATTTAACTTTTGCTGCTCGATGTGCCACATCAACCAATTAGAGAAGCTGATCTGGGAGTTGGCAGGAAGACAGACACAGTGCTACTGATGCAGAGAACTATGATAACTCCCCTGAAACAGTTTATTAACACTTAAATTAACTTAAAATGTCAAAACCTGCATAATTATAATAAAGCAATCTATATGCATGAAACAAGTGGAGCAATATGGCAAATGCCATACTGCTACACTTGTGAAAGTAAAATCTGTTGGGCTCTTTTTGGTATCAAGACAATTATTCTTATTGCCACATTGCCAGACAGGACACTGTAAAAAAAAAAAAAAAAGAAATGTCAGTTTGTACCACATACCTGAGAAACACCAACATCTACTTCCAGCCGCAATGAACAGTTGATAGCACATCGACGGTATGTGTGGATCTGAGCAGCAGCAACAGCAAAACAATATTTTAAGGCAGAGCCTGACGAACTGACTGTACAGAGGATGTTATAAGATGGCTTAAAAACATATTAAAACTACTTTTTACCAGCTTTTCACAGCGAATATAGCAAAGCCATTTTCTGCCATTGAACACAGAAGCAGCACAGATTCATCTGTAAAGTGTGTACAGATGAATCTGTATACACTTTACTGGAGACTGTTCAGGAGCATCAAGGGTGCTCTTGACGCACGTTTGACCTTAATGTGTACAAGCATCAAAAATGAAGCAGCAGGCGCTTTTATGCCAACCAAAATGCGTTTGTTGTGAAGGTAGCATTAGTCACTTTAAAATACCAACTTTTTAGGTGTACTTGAAACGGCAAAGCTTCTAATTTCATAGAAAATTGTGTTATTTACTTTCATTACTCCTTATTATGTTTTGTCTTAGCCTTATAGCTTAGTGTCTGCTCTGAATAATATTCATTTGTTATAATTACAGGCCAACCAAAACCTGCATCCAGACGTTTTTAAAATACCATGACTATAGCAGCAAGATTTGTTGCCACCTTCAAAGAAAGTCAGAGTGTGACTCTTAAACACTGGCTGATTTTCTAAATCCAGTTTGCTGCTGGTATAAATTAAAGACATTTCACTCTGTGATCCATGGTTCATCACAGTTGGCCTGACTCTGAGAAGCCGTGGCAAAGCTAAGAAGGCTGCTAACATGCAGATTCAGTGCTGGGTCATAAAGTCAAGAGTTCAGAACATTACGGTAACTTGAAATGCCTTATTCTACTGTTTCCCTCGTTCTACATCTGCATCTGATTTGAGTTCCTCATTTTGGATTCCTCTGTGTTTTCTATTATCTTTGATAAGATGGGACTAAATGATGCGTTCCTGGCAAATGATAAAAGGAGAAATCATTTAGCCATCAATTATTGCTTCTTCCATTTTTTTTTATCAGATTGCTCCATCCTATAAATGTTGGTTTTTCCTTTAATTATCTAATGATGGATCATTCCGTTTCCAGGTTTGTTTAGTGCTTCACAACTGCATGCAGATGTGAGGGCTCTTTGCTTTACGGTTCTTACAGATGTTGAGATTAGGGTGTTACCCATGGAATACATTTCTTTGGGATATAGTGCAGAAGTTAAATTATATAATTTTTTTTCTTGTTACAGTGCAATATTTTTGATGCCTGCTTTGATATATCCTATAAGGGACTGTCCGCTTTCTTTCTGCCGTAATAGCAAATAGAGACTTTTTGTTACGTAAAAAATTAGTTTGTGAGTTCAGATAAACAGTTTCCACCTCTTTGTACCCCTTATCTTGATAAGACAGAAAGAATAGCTTGTATTTCTAATTTCACACACAAACTTCCTGTTTGTAGATAGGGAATGGAGAAAGAACATCCTGTGATTTCCAGTGGTTCCCAGTGGAACTCATAAGCACATACCAAGAAACAGTGTTGAGGAAAATGTCATAAATGGACCCATTTAGATTTTTCTGCTTGGTGAACTACAAAGTACAGCCCTGCTGCTCATTTTTTAGCGACAAAGAGAGACATTGTGCCTAATTTGACCCAACAGTGTGCTACAATTAGCTACCTGATAAGAATTTAACAGGCAGCTTGAGAGGAAAATTTCACAATGGAGTTTAATAGAAAGCTTAACAAGATATGTTGCTTCTTGTTTGTATCCATCAATTTTAAATCAACTTATTCAAAGAACAAAGTGTGTCCAGGAAGGTACGTCTACACTGTATTTATTTTGAACAAAAACATTTACAAATGATCTAAAAAGGGAGATGTTTAAGATATTCCACAAGAGTATGTTTAATGTTGAAAAATATCACCATCTTGATCTGTCAGGATGATAAACTCAATGTTTGAAAAATGTGGTCATTTTCTAATTGCATGTGAAGATTTAATTCTTGGATAATAGTTTTTAACTGGAGTTAAGCCAAGATTAATTGTTTAAGGCTAATGAAAAACTTAACTCTGTAGGTCTTTTCATGATTAAGTTTAATTTAATGTATCCTGATATTAATGGCATACATAAATCTGTTGCGCCTCGCACAAAATATAGAAAAATACACATTCATATGGGTAGATGTAAATAACTTACATAATCTAACCCCTGTTGCTTTTATAGAAAAAAGCTGTTTAGTTAATTTCTTGTTTACTCAAAGAGTGACTGTTCATTTTACCTTTCAATTATGCAAGGCAGCTAAAGACAATCAGTTTTGTGTAACTTTTGTCTTTCTAACAGTAGTAATGAGAGCACTTGGCAAGCAAACTTCCTGCAGTAAGAGAAAGTGGCTCAAATCAGGCTTTTATAAGTTCCTGTGTAATTTTCCCATGAGCTCCGGGCTTAGTGACATCATCTGTTAGACACTTCTGCTGTTTCCACCCAAAATGTTGTCACTTTTTAAAAAAAGTATGTCCTCTCTTGAATTTGTTGTGTGTTATTGTAATTCTTTTTTTTCTCATTGTTCTTCTCATCATATAATTATTATTATCTGGTATTAATATTATGTTTTATTTGATCATTAATACAAAGCACATTTTCAGCCGAGGAAAAACTTATAGGACCACTCTTATATTTCTTGTTCTAATGGGACATCACCTGAGGAATCTAATGTACATGATAGAAAAACAAGGGTGGTCTAAGGATCTTTTCCATTGCTGTATTTTCACCTTTTTCATAGCATTGATTGTGCATGCATACAATTCCTACCTTTTAAAGTTATTATTTTATGTAAAATTTCAGATGTTACCTAACCTCTTTCAGTTCAATGTTACTCTATTACGGGTTTCCCCAGCTACGACCCTCAATGCCAGGGGTCTTGTACGTGTTAGATGCATCTCTGCTTAAACAGCTGAATTAAATTAGCTGAATTTCCTCCTCAACCTACAGTGAAGTTCTCCACAGTCCTTCTAATGACCGGATTATTTGACTCAGGTGTGTTAAAGTAGAGCCGCGTCATAAAGGTGCAAGACACCGACCACTGAGGATTATAATTGAGGAAAAAAACTTTATTTAAAGTTTATTTAATTTTATTTAAAGTTTATTTAATGTTTGGAGAAATTTGATAATTTCCTATGTATATTTGACCATAACTGGTCAAATGTTTGATCCCTGAATGACCAAGTTTTGCTGAAAAGTTTTTCCACCTACATGTATCAGTGGTTCTCCTATTTTTCAGCTTTTGTACTTGGGTTGTGCTTCACAGGACTATGCTGTTTCCACTGTGCCTGTGCTGGAGGGGCTACACCTGAAAAGCTTCTGCAGCATGGGAGGACCAGGACTTATCATCATCGGCTCCAGCGAACCAGCTCAGAAAGCGCTTAAAGTAGGCAGCTTATGCTAAAATGCATTTCTTTACTCTTTATTTATTTGTAAATGCTTGTTATGTACAATTTAATCTCTTAGCATTCATTTCTATTCTTTCCTAAATTCCATGGATTACCTCTGAAACTTGCTCTCCAGCTTTAATTACAAAGTTGTTTTTCCCCCCTTATTTCACAGCTTAAGCTCATTGCTGCATGAAGGGCATCTGAATGAAAATTAAAAGGATGTTGGGAGTTCAGAGAAGACAGCTTATACAGCCTAGCAGAGATTGGTGGTTTACACCAAGAAGATAATACATTTCAGCACATCCCAGCTTGTGAAATTCTCAACCATCTGTGTGTGAAGTGAAGTCCTGCCCATCCCCAAGCTCTGTGCCCGATCTTACACACTTATTCTATAGGTCCAAAACCATAAGGCAAATCATACAGCATTGGCTTTATTGTCCTCTGGTTAGAGGTTTTCTCCATCCTTGCCTTCAGACTAAGAACTCCCCCTGAAGGCCAGATATGCAATATGATGATGTAAAGTATTAATTTTGGGCATCTCTGCATCTCTGCAAACATATACACAAGAAGAATATGTGAATAAGCACATAAGCTAATTAAATGTATTTTCTAGCTCCAACTCATTAAGACTCCTTGCTGTTTGATCGACCACAGTAATTAGCTGCTGGAGTGAAGTGTGGCCTTTTGCGATGCTTAATGGCAGAGGGCTTATTTGCTAAGTATGGCTTACATCACCTTCTCCTGGAGCTATTAATTTCTGTTTTAAAGGGGTTTTAACAACTCGGCATCTGCTGCTCAGTAATGTTGCCTATGGGCAGAGAGAGATCAGGGATACGTTAATGAATTCAAACTGCTTGTTTAGTACGTTGATGCTCGTCTTATGAAAGTAGAGATCCTCCCCCTCTCCTGCATGAGAGGAAGATGTAGCTTAACTGATTCCTTGAACTTTTTAAAGTGGGACTTATATATTAATAAAATGTTGTGATAGTTTTTCATGAACATTTTTTTTATTTACTATCGCTTTGAGTGACAGACCTACTCAGTAGTACATTTTGTGAAGTAAACATTTTTTGAAGTATTTTTTTTTTCTCAAAATGTGTATCCCCCACATTCCCCACAACTTCTTTGACCTATGCCAAACACAGCAACTATGTAGTTATCTTAATAAATGAGAGCTGCTCCACATCCTCCTGGACTCCCTCAAACGCCACCGTTGACATACATTTCCTCCATCCTTCATGCTCAAAATATGGAGCAAGTCCATGTTTTAATCCGATCTGGTCCACTGGAATCCGGCCAGGTCAAGCTCCACAACTCCAATCGGATCAGACAGAAAAACAAAGGTTGTTATCCATTTTGTCAAAGTAAATTAGGGTAACTACAAAAAAAAAAAAAAAAAATCCTTTTTTCATATTCCCAAAAAAGATGACGATTTTATTTTTCATTTCATACAAACCACTGATACTTAAATTTACAAGGAAACTGATTTTTTTTTATCTCACTGGAAATATTTTTGTTATTCTAAATTTTTTTGAAATCTTGACAAATTTTTGACGAGTCCAGTCACAACCAAGAGCGTATCTCTTCTTATTGCAGAGCAGAGAAGTTACTGATAATGTGGAATTTTGGGGTATTAATTATAGATCTTAGAAGAGGGAAATGGATTCTGCCCTCTTAAGGAAGTACTTAGATGGGAAATGGTAAAAAAAAAAAAAAAGGGGCCTCTGAGTCACCTTTTTTTCCCCTAATTCTTTGTTACAACTAGAGTATATTAATCTCAGTGTTCCCCACCACTAGTTAGAACTGAAGAAGCCTTGTGGATGAGAGGCGAAATGTCTTCTAGAAAACTTCATGCCCAGTTGCCTAGACTTATCTTTTTCAAGTTTGTACATATTCTTTTTCATTCAGGCCAAAGTTGCTATATTCCTTACATCGTTATATGACTTAGGAACCTTTAAATGCAGCCTCTTATAGCATACTTCTTTCAGTTTTTTCATAAAGACTAGATTTATCATATTTAAGATTTGAAGGGTTCGAGCTGTAAATTAAATACCATTACCATAAAACAATGCTTACCTTACAGAATTATTTCGCATTATAATACTACTAACTTCAAGGATACTCTAACAATTATATGGAGCGATAATCTTTTAGAATTACTTTAATCCACACGTTTGACAACAAATCAACAGAGTACAGGCTTACTTATGGCCTTGATATACTGTAGGCTAAACCTAAATGCAATGTGGGATGTTGCTGCTGTATTTCTTTTCTTTGTTCTGTTATGCAGAGGCGACCCACAGTGAAGCTGGATGTGATTCACAGGGAAGGCCAGCAGCAACACACTTTTGTCTTTCCTCAGTTATTCAATCCAGTTATGTTCCCAATCAACCCATTGGACCTTCACAGAATGCTTATTAATGATTAGGTGTAACTACATGCAGTTGTTTCACTTTACAAAGTAAATCATTACTCATCATTTTAACAGTTTCAGAGAAAGGAGGTCTAAAAACATTTTATCAAATAAATTATCCAGTCAAAATAAAATCCCTGGAAATCTGTTGGACTTATAAGTCAAGCTAAATCATCTTTTTGCAGCATTTAACTATGTTACGATGCGATTCATTTTTTAAAAACCATTCACAAAGTGGTATTTCACTCTATTCATGCATCTCTGAGTGAGTCTCATGAGGTTTGCATTTGCAGCAGCAGCATCTGTCCTGTGAAAAGGAGGCGGTTGGAGAATATCTACGTAAGAATTCCCTCTTCTTGGATCAGCTACTTTAACCACCCTGTTCCCGCACTGTAAACAAACACCCTCTCTTTCCAAACAGGAAGGGGTAATGTGAAGCAGAGCACAGTGATTTGTTTCAAATTGAAGACAAAGTGGCTTTTTTTATTTATATATAACTAGACTGCACAGGGCAGAATTTCCCTCTTTAACTAATTGAAAGTTATAAGTATCTCTTTTTTGAGCTCGATAGGTCTGGGACTTATTTAATTCTTTAGAAGTGGTGTGACACTGCAACATCATAAAATAGGCGACACCCAGTTTCACTTCGAAGTGTGGACGAAAACAACCATATTTCATAACAACAGGCTAGACTGCAGTTGGGAGAAAGGAACAGCCGAGGCCTGAACCTGCAGTGATGACCAGCTGCGGCCTGTACCATTCCAAAAGGTCAGACATGGCTAACAGCTGCCCAGACGGTTGTAGTAAGATCATGATGCGTTTCCAATAAGGCTGAATGGCAGGAACAAGTAGAGTAACAAACTTCTGGGAACACTTACAAGCAGGGTGATTAGCTTACATTCTGGCAGCAAGTGGAGAGTGAGGCAGGTGTATACGGTAAAGGGAGTGAAACAGACTAACAGATAGTTATTATGGTGTTAACTGGTCGCTGGGAAATGACAAAAGGAAATGCACCATGGAGTGGAGGTAATAAGTCCAAAACGAAAATAAGAACAAAAACCAAATCATGAAATTTTTAATCAAAATTATTCAGAGCAAGGATGAAAAGCCCAAAAATCCTCTAAAAGTTTTTTTTTTTTTTGGTATACTTTTGATAGAGCAACAGTTTATGTAGCTTTATGTTTAAATAAGCCTTTTTATGTTGTTTTTTTTATGCAGGCCTGTATAACAAGGCTCAGGACTGTAGATGTGTTTTAAATACTCCCAGGAATAGGAGTGCATGGGAGTGATTGGACCGATTTCATCATCCATCTGCAGCTGTCAATTCCCAGCTTCACCCAGAAAGTCATCATCCCATAATACAGCCTCTGTCACAGGCCTCAGCACCCACTCCCTGTAATCACACATGCATACTAACCACACCCTGCAGCAAACTGCTGTGCAGATTTGACATCATCATCACCACTTCCAATGGCCCAGCTTGATTTATGAGGTCATTGCTTCCCACTGGTCAGGACCTGATCTCCACCTCATGGATGCAAACGTGATTTAGTTTCAAAGATGATGAGGTGACCATACAGTGAAGGTCAAATTGAGATAATACCGTAAATGTTCCATATTTTATCAAAGAGTTAGCTGTTTTTTTTTTTACCTTACTGTTTGGATGAAATATTTTGGATAAAATATTTTTATAATTTATATTAATTAAATTTTTTTATAGTTTTATATATTTACTTTAGCCAATAAATAAAGAAAAAAAATGAGCTTTTAAGCAACAGAATTAACCATCATCGGTAGTATGTCCAAATATATGTTGGTAGTCGTGGTCCCCTCGATGAACCGTAGCTCCCCACAGCTGCTAGCTCAAAATCACGACACCCCACCACCCTGCCTAACTATTGACAAGACACACTTGTCTGTGGTACTTCTAACCTGGTTGCTACCTAAGAAACTACACTCTATCTGAACCAAATTATTTTATCTAGGTCCCACCAGATGGCTGGACATGATTTTGGAAATGCATATCATTAGTGTTCTTGTGTTTAGCAAATGATTCGCAGGCCTTCTTGAGCATTATTTTTAAAAGACGCATTCTTATGGGATGACAACCATGCAGAGCATTTGATTCAGTGTGCTGCTTTCTGTCTGAGCACTGACAGCTGGATGGCTGCTCAGTGGTGCAGTGGGTAGCAGTGCTGCCTTGCAGCAAGAAGGTCATGAGTTATTGGCAAATTAAGTTTGTATAATAAATATTAAAGTCAATTCATCTACAAGAGAGCAGATATCAACATTTAACATGCTATAACAAAGATTGCATTATGTCTTTCAAGATGGGATGTTTGCTGCATGGTGATGTAGTGGGTAGAACTGTTGCCTTGTGGGAAGAGGGTTCTGGGTTCAAATCCTGGCCTGAGATTTTCTTTTTGGCATGTTCTCCCTGAGCATTCGTTGGTTCTCTCTGGGTACTCTGACTTCCTCCCACAGTCCAAAAACATGACTGTTAGGTTAATTGGCTCTCTAAATTCTCATTAGGTGTGAGTGTGTGAGTGAATGGTTGTTTGTCCTGTTTGTCTCTGTGTTGTCCTACGATGGACTGGCGACCTGTCCAGGGTGTACCCCGCCTCTCGCCTGTAGACACTGGGAGATAGGCACCAGAGCCCCTCGCGACCATACGTGGGATTAAGCCTGTCAGAAGATGGATGGATGTCTCTGGATGTTACTCTGAGCATGTGCACTTAAATTCTTCTGTTGCTGCAGCTCAGTTTCACAGGTTTTTGGCAATTTTCTTATAGGCTAGGCTGTCTTAATTAGAGCTACAACTTTGACAGATATCAGATGTCTCTTGGCCATAAGGTTCACACCTTAAACCCTGTAACCTGGATCACGTGACACTGAGGAAGAATTAGGGCTAATTGGACAAATAATAGATAATTGGGCAAATTTTCTACATTTCTCCTACAGACAGTAAATATAGGCTGGATACTGAATTCAGTATGATAGTTTCATTGGGTTTTACCATATAGATATAATAAAATGTTTACAAAATGTGAGGAATGGACTCATCTTTCTGATCTACTCTGTTTTTACTGAAGTATATATCAGAAAATAAACAAAGAAACATTTTTTGTTGATAAACAATGTCATTTTCACATATTTTTACAGCTTTTGCAGAATTTACCTTACACGTGTTGCTGTTGCTGAGTGAAAAGAATAATAATAAAACTTTTAAAGGCATGGTGGGAAATTTTATAAATATTCATATCAAAGGTCAAAATGCAAATTATGCTGATGAACACCGTGGAGGGCATCAAATCCAGTAAATTGTCAAAGACCTAGTTATCAGTTTGCCAAGGCTCTGCCCAGTGGGGATTTTATTACATTCCAGTAAATATTTGGATTTAGCACTCTTGACTGGGCACTCTGTGCTGCCCCAGTAACTGCTCTGCATATTTGCTGGACCTAAGCCACTGTCCATCCAAAAATCAATGTTTATTTGAAAGACAATTATTCTTTGATTTAATGTTGGACTTTATGGTTTATAATTGTATACATTATATTTTGCACTAATTAAAGAGCTGTTTAAAGATAAAATTACCTACTAGATTTTCTGACATCTTATTAAATCTCAACACCAATTACAAATAAAGTTGTGTAGTTTGTGATCTTTGGTGGCATCAAGGTTTAGACTGTTTTTTAACTACTAATGCCCCATTTGTGTGTGTGGTAGCCAGGACATTTCCAACATTTACAATACCTTTTTTAAACCACGCCGATATTCATCAGATCCATGCTCAGTCCGAACTCGGCACTGATCGGTTTTCAGAGGGTAGCGTAAATCGGGCTTATCCGGAGTAAACCCTGAGGTGTTGTTGAAAATGGCAGTCCAACAAGCGGGGCTTTTTCGGTGGCTTTTTCTTTTTGAAGCAATTTTTTGGTCAACTTTTTTAATAGGTTTTTGCATTTCCCTTTTCCACTAATCTCAAAGATATTCATTCACAGAGTTCTGCTCCTAAACCTTCGGAGCCACCTGCTTTGATTCTGGCCATAACATTTTAGACACCCTGACTTTTATTCAGGAACATTTAGCCCCCACCCCCCCTTAGCCGTTCATCCCAACCTAAGCTGATTACATAAAAAACATGACATCTGCCGAGAAGGAATGTCTGTCTGCTCCTGTGTTCTCCATTAAGCCCCCCCTCAGTCAGCCACAGTGGTTTGGCAAGTAAAAGGATGCTGAGCTGCTTTTGGGATTGTGGGCTCAGTTCTGAGTCAAGGAATCTGAGTGGAAGTCTGTTTTGTGTCTGTGTCTGTCCACAATGTGAACTTACTTATTTACCCAAACATGTATGTCTCCCGTTTACAATTAATCAGATCATGCAGCAAATGAGTGACCATCGCTATGACAAGCTGACGGTACCTGATGATATTGCTGCCAACTGCATCTACATGAATCTGCCTAACAAGGGACACGTGCTCCTGCACTGCACAACGGAGGAGTTTCCAGAGAGTGTTAAGGTACTATTCATTTTAAATCCCATACTTACTTTATTTTACTGCACAATTAGACTGTCAGTGACAATGCTGAAAGTAACACCTGTGGTAGGAAGGACAACCATTATGAAAGCCGAACTGGTTTGGCATTTTAGATTTAAAGAGGGTTATCTGTATTACACTGCAACCTCTCCAGACCTCTGAGAACAACAACTGGCAAGAAAGAAGAGCCTTACATGTGCAACGTGTTCATTTTCTCTCAGACCAAAGCTGGCTTTTTAAACAAAAGAAGCTACAATTTCAAATGAGCTGAATTGTTATAGGTTCTGACAAGTCTAACAACAAGAAATTTTTTTTATGTAAGTTATTATCTTCCCCATTAAACTTTATCAATGTCATGTCAAAGTGGTTTTTCAATGAAAATGCTTCAAAAATCAGCTTATACCAAAAAGAGTTCACATTGACTCTAAAGTTTACATTTTTGTTGAAAAATGCAGTTTTGTTTTCTTCGTTTGTCTTAGATAGATAACCATTAACCAGTCCATCTGTATGATTTGATTGAATTGTCTCTGTAAAGTGCATTGAAATGCTCTTTTATACACTGATACTATAAAAATGAATTTAATTGCAGGCTTGAGGGTTTATAGTAGTTTGCACCGGGCAGTCCGTGTGTGTTTTGTGGACATGGAGTAGGTATTTGAACCATGTTCCCTGTGGTGCTCTGTGGGTGGCATTTTTAAAAGTATGGAGTCGGGCGGCCATCATCTAGGAGCCATCCGATTGCTATACAGAGCGGAGCAAGAGGTAGTTTGCATTGGCAGGGTTAAGCTAAGAACTGTTGCCAGGGCATGTCGAACTCCAGCTGGGCCACCCTCTGTCATCGGTCCTGTTCCTAATCTATGGTTTGGGGTTGGGTTTTGGGACCAATAGATTTCTTCCTTGCTTTTTGTGGAACACATGTTTCTACTGGCTCCCTCTTGCTTAGGTCTGCAGCATGGGCTTAGCAGGCTCACCGCCAAGTACCAAGCTGCTGGGATAAAGCTCATCAGCTCATCGAAGTCAAAATCCCAGGGTCACTCATGCTCTCCAGGTTAAGGGATAGGTACTGCTTAAAGTGGAGGAATTCAAGTATCTTGGGGTCCTGCTCATGAGTGAGGGGAGAATGGAGCAGGAGATCAATAAAATGAATCGTTCGGCTGCTGAGATAATGTGGACTGTGGTTGGGTCGCTACAACCAACCACTGGTTGGTTGTAGCGAAGAGAGAGCTGAGCCAAGAGGCAAATGTCTACATTTGCTATCAGCCTATGAGCCCGCCACTACCTATGGTCAGGAAATCTGGATCAGGACTAAAAGAACGAGATCCTGGTAACAGTTGGCTAAAATGTTCTTCACAGGGTGGCTGGTCACTTCCTTAGAGATAGATCAGGTGAGGAGCTCAGCCATCTGGGGAAGAGGCTTAAGGTAGGGCCATTGAAAGAAGTCAGCTAAGGTGGCTCAGACATTTGTATCAGATGACTCCTGGACATCTCCAACATGAGGTGTTACAGACATGTTCCAGTTGGAGGAGGCCAAGATAGTTGCCAACGATACTCTGGAAGGACTATGTCTCTTGACTGGCCCTGGAATGCCTTGGGCTTCATAGCTACCAGAGGAAACTCTGCTTAGACTACAGCCCCATGACCCAGCCCCTGATAAGCAATAGACTACAACAAGTGCAAATTAAATTGAAATATAGCCAGGGAGCCTTAAAATCTTTTTTCAGTTGCTGTCAGACCAAGTTTCTAAATTAGAAATTCCTTTATACTCTATTCCAAGTTATTTAAACTATGTTTATCAATCTATAGTTTAAAATTTTAAACATATAGATTAAAACCTGAACTTAATTACTCTAAACCTAAAAAACCTTAATCTAAATAGCTTGGAATATATAAAACCCATTCTATATTTGTAAAATACAAAAAGAGAAATATTTTCATATTGGCACTAATTCTGCTTACGTTGACACAAGTTTAAAGACTGCACAATTAAAGAGCAATCATACATATAATTATTTTATATTTGAGAAATTCTAATAATCTTAGATTGGTCTGTCTTTTTGCAAAATTCTTATTAAATACATGTAATATTTTCATTTAAAAAACAGGTCTAAAAAATATTTGTTTCACAGTGGCATATTGAGCAGATAGTATCTTAAAAGAAATACATTGAAAAAAAAGAGCTTTCATTGATGCACAGCATGTAAGATATGAATGTAAGATATGCTCAAAACATGTTTGTTTTGAACACAGCTTTAGATTTAGCAGACATATGGCCTCTGGCCCTTGAGACATTTATTCTTTGTGGCTGCTTGACATGAATTATAAACTTTTTCCTACATTTGTCTGTTGGGTCAGGGAAGACTGAGCAGTAGCTGCATTTTTTTTTATTCTTTGGGGTAATTCCAAGGCATAAGAAGTCATTATGGTTCTCACAAGATTAAACCTGGCAACATGCAGTCGGCAGAGACAGTGCTCAAACCTCAAAATGTACTCTGTGGTTAAAGTCCCAATCCCTGCCAGCTATTTTTAGAAGGAGGAATTCACAAAATGATGTGTCTTTGGACCTAAAACGGCAAAGAAGTCTTATTTTTTTTCCAGGAAGAATGGCTGAGGGAATTTATCTTGAGCATGATAAAATATATTTGTTTATATTATACTTCTTGCTTTGGAAGTACCTTGAATAGTCTATTTGGATAGTTTATTTAAGAATGTACTGTGCCTTGCAAAAGTATTTATTTCTCTACATCGTTTCTATGTTTTATTTCATCTTTGAGCTTTTAAAAATTTCTGTGGGATTATTTTAAGTAAACCAACAGAGATTAACCTGTTATTGAGGATTAAGAGCAAACATTAACAGAAGCATAATGAAGACTAAGGAAAGAACCAGGTCAGGGGAGAAGATGTAGAGAAGCATAAAGCAAAGTTAGGATATATAGCAATATTCCAAACTTTTAACATGTCATGGAGGACAGTTCTGTGCAAGAATAGTATTTAAAAAAGAGAGAAAAAAAGAGAAAAGCAGTTAGGAAGCTTTTGAAACCCTTGAAGAGCTGCAAAGATTTTAAGCTAATGTGAGACAGTCGGTTGAAAGAACAATTGGTAATATGTGCAGATGCCACAAAGCTAATGCCACAAAGTGGGCTTTTCAGGAAGAGTGACAAGTAAAAAGGCCATCATCAAGTGAGCCATAAAATGACTTGCTTTAAAAAAAATTCACAATCCGTGTAGAAAAAAAGATATATGAATAATAGTGTATTAATTTTTTTTTTTTTTTGATGTGTCTAAAACTGCAAATCACATTGAATACACCATTTCCAACATAGAACAAAATATTGGCAGCATGATGCCATACAGCTTTTCTTCAAAAAGGATGTTGAAGCTTGTAGCATTGATGGGAAGATTAATTAAGCTCAATACAGTCAAACCCAAGGGGGAAAAAAAATTGTTAAAGCCTGCAAAACACTTTAGACAAGCAGGATGAAGACTTTAAAATTAGATTAGATTAGATTCAACTTTATTGTCATTACACAGGTACAGGTACAAGGCAAGGAAATACAGTTTAGGTCTAACCAGAAGTGCAATAGCAGCAAGTGCAGGATAAATAGTGGTTCCATAAATACAAGACATGGATTTCTACTGAATAAGTATAGAGATGAATACCATTATAAACAGATTCTTACTAATAGATTAATATAATATATAGATAACTAGTGTTATGAACTAAATTTACAGCTGGATATGTACCGAATATAATATACAGGTGGATATTACTATAAAAAGGTTTTTACAGTTATGTACAATAGCATATATACAGATGGGTTTTACTATAAAATGAATAAATAAAGGTTGGACAGAAGCTATCTAAATTAAAGTGCAGTGGAAGGTAATTGCATATTGCAGTTAAAGTACGTTATTGCAAATGTATATGTAAACAATTGGTACTTTGAATAAACAGTTGGCAATGCAAATCAATATTCAGTCAAGGTGAGTAGTGCAAGATGCATGTAAACGGTTGTTACAATAGTAACAGGAGTGCAGGTGAACATTTCAGTAACATTTCTTGTAAAAAAACACAATAGCAAAATTGTGGTACTGTAGGTGTGAGGAAGGAGAGTAGAGTCTATCCGTGAGGGTTAGAGTTCAGTAAAGAGACAGCTCTGGGGAAAAAGCTATTCTTTAGCTGCCGGAGGGTAGAAGAGAAAACAGTCTGTGGATTGGATGGGATGAGTCCCTAAGAATGCTACGGGCTCGATGTACTGTAGGCAGCGTTTCTTCTGGATGTGCTCAATGGTGGGTAGTGAAGTTCCAGTGATGTGCTGGGCGGCTTTCACCACCTGCTGCAGTGACTTGCACTCTGCAAAAAAGAATAGCTTCCGTACCACACTGTTACACAGTTGGTTAGGATGCTTTCTATCTCAAAGCGAGAGAATTTAACCAGGATAGTTTAGAGGAGCTGATTCTTCCTCCGTGTTCTTAGGAAGAAGAGGCGCTTGTGAGCCTTCTTGACCAGGCAGGAGGTGTTGGTTGACCAACACAGTCTGCATGACTCCAAATAACTGCATGACCAAAGTTGCAATGACATGGTTTAGTTCTATACATGTTTACATGTTGCAATGGCTAAGGCAAAATCATAACTAGTGGAAATCTATGGAAATCTAGAACTAGTGGAAATCTACGTATATAAGAAACGATTCTAAAACCAAATTTTTTCCCCAAATATGCATATACTCACTGTAAGATTTTGTAACTTGGAAAAACAAACTGATAACCCAAGACAGAATAAAACAGCAGGGACTGCCTAATCAGTGCTGACTGTAATGTCTTGCACAGTGGGTCTGGATTTGGTACATATTTCCGAAGGGGAATTTTTGCTTGCACTTCCTGTGAGATTAGATTTTTCTGCATAATCACTGAGCCGCTTTGCAAGACATCTGCCTCCAAACACTCTGTCGTGACCTCCGCTCTATTTTTAGCTGATTGTGAAG